TCCCCCTCGCCCCACCCAGCCAGAGTGTTTTATAAAATGAGTCTCCTCATTTCTAAAAGTTCTTTTGCTGTAATAAAAAGGAAGAAAAGACTAAAGTGGTTTGGTACTGATGTACTGGTATACCAGTATAGTAATAAATGTATTTAATATTATCTCATTTCATTTTGAGATCAACTTTGTAATAATTTTCATCCATCCTTAGCTATGCCCTGGTTAAGTATAACCCACCTACCCCGCTGAAGGTAAACCCACATTAGCAGAAAGTTTTCATTCCGCATCTGGTTCTTTTCTAGATGATGAGGCGTCCCGCGGTCAACAGTCTGACTTCTTCTCCGAAACTAGCAGTGTCATGAACGGCAGTGACATGAGTGGCAGATATTCCCAAAGCAACTCCAGGATATCAGCGTATGTATCATGTTTATCCATCACACCCACCATACCCTGGGCAATGGAGAAAGTCCAAGTAAATGGGTCGGTTTTCTACCAGGATGTTGCTACAGGAGCCGGAGGACATTCAAGGCCACATGGAAGTTGTGCAAGGCCTGTCCCAGCACATCCAGTAGGTTAGACTCGTGTTCACATGTTTCTGCTGCAGCTTCATGGCCTGTGTGCTTACCCAATGCCCACACGGACCTCACACTGCGTACTCAGTTCATAAAACATCTGATTTTATTCACTTAATAGATATTATGTGACTATAATGGGTGGGCACTGAATAAATAAAAATATTATAAAGAAAAAAGATTTTAGGCTTCTTCAATTCAAACTCAGGATTGGAAGAGGAAATAAATATGTCATCACACTTTTACTCAGTGTAGCAATTTGTAGAAGTGTTACTGAACGCCTATATGCTAGTTGTAGTGAAGGTTGCAGGAAACTTTTAAGGAGATCTGAGTTGTAAGAGCTAGAGCCTTACTGGGGAGACCGAACAATGCAGGATTATATAATTTAACTGAATTGATCTTGAGGATGTGGGGAGTGATCAGAAACTGTAAGAAAGGCGACTAGAACTGGGCTTTTCAGAGTTGGGGTGAGCCCAGCCGGTGTGACTCAGTGGTTGAGCGTCAGCCTATGAGCCAGGAGACAGGTCATGGTTCCATTCCTGGTCAGGGCACATGCCTGGCTGCAGGCTCAATACCAGTAGGACGTGAACAGGAGGCAGCCGATCATTTATGCTTTCTCATCATTGATGTCTCTCTCTCTCTCTCTCTCTCTCTTCCTCCCCTTTCCTCTCTGAAATCAATAAAAATATTTGGAAATAAAGTTGGACTGGGAGAGCCCCAGACAAAAGGAATGGCATATTAGTGACCTAAGGCAGGAAAGACTATTGGATTCATATAGATTTCATTATGTTCAAATTCCAATCTAGTATGTCTTTATCTTCTAATTTAAGTTTTATTTTGTTGCCTTTGAATTTGTTTTTTATTATAAAATTCAAGTTCAATGTTGTTCTGTTTATTGTTTAACTCTTATTATCAGATGTGACCTCATTTTAGTCTGTATTTCAATGAAAGCATCAAGGCCAGATAATACTTTTTAGGGTTTTTCTTATCCCTGCCTATAAGACTTGCCTCTCCAAGTTTCGTGGGGGGTTTTTTAAATCACTTTAACACCTCATCACCATTTCTCCCAAGTACAGATACCATCTGTAGATGCCTGGTTTCTCAGAAAGTTAGTGGCAACAGGTACATTCATTTTAATATGTTCAGCACAAGGAGAGCCCTTTATAAATCTCTAATTTCTAACAGGCGATCATCTAAGAATCGCCGTAAGGCAGAGCGGAAGAAGCACAGTCTCAAAGAAGGGAACCCCCTGGAGGAGCTGGCCCTTTTGGAGGCTTTGAATGAAGTGGTGCAAGGCACTGAAAAATTGAAAGGTATCTGCTCAGTACTGACTGACGGGTCCTGCCCTCAGACAGATAGTAAATGGACAGCACAGACAGACAGAATTTCTCCAACTAGAGGGAAGACTAGAACCGTCAACAGGAAGTGTCATTTTAGGGCGCATTCCTGAAACAGCCTTGCCAGCCTGTCACCAGAAGCCTCCTTCTATTGGCATCCCGGTACCTGAGCTGGGAGAGCTGAGCCCTGAGGCGAGATGAAGGGCTGTGGGACACTGCTTCCTGCCCGAGCCCTTGGTGTGTTTTCCTGTTGTAGAGGATGTGTCCGATTACTCCGGCATTGGGGAAGGGAGAAGAAAGTGTGGGAGATGACAGCTGTAGTGAGAAAGTAAATGTTTTTTATATGAGAGAGAAACTGTGGGCACAACTAAACCTTCCCTCATGTTTCTGTCCTAGATGAAATACACTGCATTTTGAAGGTGCTCTTTCTCTTCGAGTTCGATGAGCAAGGGAGAGAATTGCAGAAGGCCTTTGAAGATACCCTGAAGCTAATGGAGAAGTCCCTTCCAGAAATTTGGACTCTCAGCCACCAGCACTCAGTTACGCCTGTAAGTTTTCCTCAGAGACAAAGGTGCATTTTTTTCATCATTTCACAGGTTATGTCACTCACACAATCTCTTACAAGTCAAAGCAAAAGACTTTCCTGTCCTTAAAACATACTTTGCCACAGTTCAGTTATCTGAAATTTATGTTGAAGCGGTCGCTAAGGTTTTCTTTGACTATCCAGTGACTGTTACACCGTGGCTGAGGTTGCGTTCCCTTTTATTTCTCCTCTCTACACGGAACACTGTCCCGCAGAATATGGGGCAGTCAGACAGTTGCTCCTGGCCTTCGATGAGCTTGGAGTGGGGGTGGGAGTGTTCAGACTTAGGGGTGGTATCAGAGTTCTCTAACGGAAGCCCAGACAACTGCTCTTCCTTTTGTTTGATGTTAAATTAGACTTGTTACTTCTGTGTTGTTATGACGAGCCTTGCTGATTATGCTGAAGGGTGTTTGTGGGGAAACTGCTAAAAGAGCAAAAGGGAGAGTTTGTGGTTGTTAGGATTTAGAGGTTCGCAGGCTGGGCCCTGCCGACCTGGTTCCTCACCCTCTGTGAAGAGGGTGCCAGCCAGCTGGGGCTGGTATTTCTGAGGAGACATAATGATGCCAGTTCTCTGTATTGGAATGAACTGACACAAATGAGCAGCTGCTGATGGTGTAAAGAGCTACTGTGGGGTGAAAGGAAGCGGACACAGAAGCAGATTCCTCCTCCCTGCAGCCCTGCTCTCTCCCTCTGGTGGGGAGCAGCTGACAAGGGGGTGTCTCCTCAGGCTCCCAGCCCCAGCAGTGTATGGGTGGGTGGGCTTGGGGCTCTGGGAGAGGTTGGTAGAAACACAAGTGTACTGGGCCTCGACTCCTCACAAAGGGATCCCTGTACACCTTAGGATATGTTTTGAATGTTAAATAAGAGGAGAGGTGTAAAAGCATCTTACAAACCATACAAATAAAAGCAACTAAAAATCATTACCCTCACAAATATTTGGCTTTACTATAATAGGTATTTCCTAGAAGAAATGTGATCACCTTTAAAACTGGTGATTTCAAAGCTAGCAGTTTATAATGCTTCTCTTCCCCTCTCCTCCCCTCCCCTATTCAGATCATACTAACTTCTAAGTCACCAAAATGACCAGGAATATTGTGGTTTGGTTTTGGTTGCTAAAGTATGTCAATGGCATAAGTGCAGGCGGGATACTGTGAGTCACGTGGCAGTGCTTGGAGCACACGTCATTGCTACTCAGGGTGCCACCTGGGGGTGCTGCCTGCACTGCACCCTGCAGAACTCGTGGAGGCAAAGCAGGGGGCCTGGCATGCACACCCTCAGGCTTGTGCAGCTCTGGAAGTCCCTCGTTTACCTTGAACACATGCAGAATTTTCACTCTGTCCCATGGTACGCACCTTCTTATCTTAGTGTAAGAATTCCCACAAATCTGTGAGTACAATTTGATACTCTGTGTATTCTATAGCCTCTTGTACTATTCCCTCTCCCTCAGGGTCTGGCTTGCTCATGTGAAAGGATCAGGCGCATATGTTGTAGATTTTCTTTCCTTTCTCTTTAGCAAGAGAAAACAACCAAACTTAATACAGACATATGTATGGGAACCCTGCACACATGAGAGAGTCAGACTCCACATGCAGGAGAGGTACCTAGATTTTCTTTTCTTTAACTCCCATCATTACCTTGTTCTTCTGGTAGAAAGGAGATTTAGAGGTCTGAGTTGAAAATGGAGAGACGGGGATTAAATTCTAATAGGAAAAGAGAATTATTGTGTTTGCTACCACCCAATGAAAATGACGGGCTATTTCCTTCTGGCAGAGGCCTGGCCTTGGTACCACAGTTGTCAGAAGTATAAGGTCATCTTTGCTGATACAGTCTACTTTCTGCTTAGGTTCTGGGTCCCAATTCTACTTCCAACAGTATCATGGCTTCTTATCAACAACAGAAGACTTCAGCTCCTGTTCTTGGTTAGTATTTTTCCCTCTGAATTACTACAGTACTAAGCACGAGTATCTTTCTGTATGTGTTGAGAATTCAGCAGTTTAAGGTGAGAACCTAAGACTGCATCTTTAGTAAAATGAGTTTAATGCATCTAATGGTGAGAAGCTGGACGGGGGGAATCCAACATGACTTTAAAACGTATAGTGTGTTTTTTTCAGTTGTTCTATTGTACACTTGTCAATACAGTGGCATATTCTTGTCTGCATGAGCACACAGTTGAAGTTTGAGTCTACATGGTTGAATTTACACATACAGTTTAAAGATTCTCCTGAATCATAATTTTTGTTGATTGGAGTTTCACAGTTGCAACTTTGGGATGTTTTCATAATCCTTAAGAGCTGGACCTTCTTGATCATCTTTAGGGTTGACAGTGTAATTTGAAAGCAAATCCGAAGACCATTAACATTGCATGTGGATTTCCTGTTTACTTATACCTAAAACTAGAGGCCTAGTGCACGAATTCATGCACCAGTAGGGTCCCTCGGCCTGGCCTGTGGGACTGGCTGAAACCTGCTTTCAGACATGCCTTGAGGGGTCCCAGATTGCAAGATGGTGCAGGCCATGCCAAGGGATCCACCAGTGCACAATCAAGGCCGGGGAGGGATGCGGGAGGTTGGCCAGCCGGAGAGGGGCTGTGGAAGGGCTCCAGGACGTGTCCAGCCCATCTCACTCAGTCCTGATCAGCCAGACCCCGGCAGCAAGCTAACCTACCAGTCAGAGCGTCTGCCCCCTGGTGGTCAGTG